CACACACACACACACACACACACACACACACACACACACACACACACACACACACACACACACACACTCAATCTTTAAATAGTTCGTATAATATCGAATAACGAATTCGACGAAATATCGTAACATTATTCACATACCGAAATTAACTTACGTTATTATATGGTGACGTAATACGGACTCGAAACCACCTAGTTGTATTTTAACAAGGAAATGTAGCCGTACAAACAGCACAACGACAAGTTTCTTCACTTGTGTGTACTTTTATCTTTCCGTATACAAAACAAATAGCACGTGTAAAACTTGTACGTTTAGTCTCTTCTGAGGTTGGTGGGAGGGGAGAGACGTGAAGGCTTATGACGGTAAAGACCGGGTTTCGATATCCACGACGGGCACGGCACAGATAGCCCACCGTGTAACTTTGTACTCAATTAAAAAAAACCCATTAAGATCTAGATGCTAATTATACTTTTATATCATTCATAAAGTTATTTAAGTGATTCTGACGGCATCATATTTATTCACACACGTACTTGTTATGACTAACTCGCACGGGTATAACCTATATTAGAAAAATTGGAGGGTGTTGATTCACTGGAAAATGTACTTTTACACAGTGACGTCCTACGTGTTTACAGGAAAGAAGCGAATTTTTTGTCTTCTCGTCATAGTCAAGGTACGTGCGCTTGGTTACAGTATTTTCATAGACAACTTATGTTGTAGATGCAGTTACAATAAACTGGTTCGTGTTATATTTTCCCCCCATTTTAAGAAATTTAATGCTTTCTCTCATTATGTGAAGTGGGTCCCTTACGTTTCTCCTTGAAATATTAATTTACGTTAGGTAATTTTATTTTTGTATTCTATTTCGCAACAGATGGCGCAACGCTCTTACACAAGTTTCGTAAACGTTTCATGATACTTCTCGGTAGTGTTGATGCTTAATAAATTTCAATATTAGGCTAAAGATAAAATGTAGGCGTATAAATAGCTTCTGTTCACCCACTGTTGCGTAGGTGAGATCTGTCTGTATGTTGTTAGCACATTTTTGGCGTTCGTTCGTATTTACACAAGTGGAAATACACGTACATAATGATACACAATTTGTAATATACGAGTACAAACATGAGTTATAAAGATGAAACTTTAATACTCATTCCTATCCCTGACTTTCGTGCAATGTGAAAAATTGTTCCGCCATCTTGGCTCCATGTAAAGCGGCATCTAGCAGATCTAGAACTATTTAAAGTTGTAGTTTTTTAGCTTTAATAAGGTATTAATTACTGTTAAACAACTTTTATGAACTTTATACAGTTTGAGATAAAATACTACTGTTGATTAATGAACTATAGGTGGCGTCATATAAGTTTATTATGCAATTATTACCGTTATAAAAAAAATTGAGCGTGGCTTAGTGGTTAACGTATCGGACTGAGGATTCGCGGGTCTTAGGTTCATGTCGTGGTGCCATTGAAAGTATGAATAAGAGTGAAAATCCCAGTATTCGGTTAAGAGTAGCCTACTGAGGCGGTTATAAGAGTTGGCGGTAGGTGTTGTTGTCTTCCTCCCTTCCATCTAGTAACAGCCAGGTGGTTAGGGCACTCAACTCGCAATCTGCGGGTCGCGGGTTCGAATCCCCTTCACCGAACATGCTCGACCTTTCAGTCGTGGGGGCGTCTAATGTGACGGTCAATCGTTGGTAAAAAGAGTAGGCGATGGGTGGTGATGACTAGCTGCCTTTCATTTAGTCTTACACTGCTAAATTATGGATGGCTAGCGCAGATAGCTCTCGTGTAGCTTTGCGCGAAATTCCAAATAAACAAACAAATCCATCTAGTACATTACTTCAAATTTAGGGATGGTTAAATTTGTTTTCTAACAACAAATCCACTTTCTTACAAGAGGAATGACAAAGAAATAACCGGAATTTTGAAGCGCAGCTAGCTCTCGAGTAGATCTGCGCGAAATTCAACAAACAAACTGTTCAGGTTTGTGGTTAAGAATTAGGGACAGTTATGTCTCTGACCTTACCGTTCAGTCCATTGTGTGCATAAAGTATTGTTGAACGTTAAAAACACTAACACAGGCCTGAAATGTTCTAATGTAATTCCTGTACGCTGAATCCGATAATGATTTCCATTTTTTACCATCGCGTACAGATTTTTCACAAAACGTCATATGAACTTTTAAATAAGTGAATCATTTTTCATTGAAAGCGGGTCACATTTTGTTATGCTTAAAATGTTAACGACCACTCGCTATAGATTTCTCTAGACCAATCGCGACGTGAGAGTCTTATCGATCGTTCGAGAACCCAAACATAATAATAAACAATGTTCATTGCGGTAAACGAAATAATTTGATCTAAGTAATTTTTTTTCCATCCATTTGTAGAAAATCCTTAGAAAAAAATAAAACATTCGAAATCTGCGTAGCTGAATTATGAAAAAAAATCCGTTATTAAAACCAAAACCAATTTTATGAAGTTTAAATTCGCAGGCCCGTGTTGCTAAAAATTAAAAATGCTAAAATTTATAATTATTAATTATGGTAAAAAAAAATCTGAGATGGCGTTGTTGATTAAAATTTATATTTGTATTATTCGCCAACAGAAAAACATCAACATTTGTTGCATATAGATATTTCGTCGTAGAAAGTTCATCGAGGTTAGTACCGACTGTAACTGATGTAAATTATATCTCCAATGAAACAATTTCTCAAATTAATGTTATCAAATTTAATAGGAAGAATTAATATCTTTGTAACGCATACAAGTTAAGTTGATAAATCAAAAAGCATTCTAAACATTTTATTCCTAATTGTTGAAAATGTAAGGCCATTCTTTCAGTTTTCATAAGGAGATTACGTTTTATTTTGTCTTTCCGAAACTCTAGAATCTTAACTTATTTATTTTTTTACGGAAACAAAACTGAAATCTGGTTAATGAAGGAATAATTACTGTGGTAAAAAACAAAACAAAAAAAAACGAAGCTGTCGGGCAACATTTGAAAGAGAAGTGATTTATGGCCTTTCGAAAAAAAATCAAACTAATAAAAGTTGGCCTAAAAAAAAAGCCTATAACTTACTATCAATCACACTGTCGATTTACGTTATTATTGCCTGACAAACCAGGATGTTTCATAATGTTTTAGTCGAGAACGTGAATATGCCTTTCAATTTATTCTTCACGCCAGATTTTTTGTTCGGTTAATCTTCGTCGCGCACTTTAATTGCATTAAACTTTAAATCGTGGAAAAACATTCGATATTTTAAAAGTAATTTGAAATACATGCTCCCAGTGACACAGCGGTAAGTCTGAAGGCTTATAACTCTAAAAACTGGGTTTCGATACTCGGGTTG